CAGATGGGACAGAGGTGGGAGGAAGGGAGGTGACAGACCAGCCATGGGAAGGTGAGGGTGAGGCAGAGGTGGAGGTAAAACAGACAGAGAGATGATGGGGCCTGGAAGTGATGGGGGGGAGAAAGGCAGGGAGGCGGCACAGGAAGGATGAAAGGACAGACCGAGAGGCAGAGGGGCTACAGGAAGAGGAAGGCTCTACAAGCAGACACACAGAGAGAGGTGAAGGTGAGGCTAGGAAGCCAAGTGAATAGACAGCGGGGGTGAGGGCGAGCCTGGGGGAATGGAGGGATGGAGGTGAGGGTGGGGCTGACATGGTGGGAACAGGAGATGGGAGGTGAAGGGGCTCCTCCGCAAAGCCGAGGGGTCCTGTCCAGCTCCGCGCGCGTGCACGGCTGGGGTGAGGCCCCACGGGGGACCCCGGGGCCTAGGCGGGTGCACCCCAAAGCCCCCCCCAGCCAGTCAGCCTGCGTCTCGGCACCACTTACCGTGCCCGCCGCGGGTGAGGAAGGGCATGCGGTTGATGGCGATGGGCACTGTGCCGTGCTTGCTGTGGAAGTGGTGGACGTGGTGGGTGGTGCTGAGGCTGGACGAGACCCGGGCCCCCTCGGCCGCCCCCAGAACTAGCAGCAGCAACAGCAGCAGCGGCGGCAGCGGCGGCGGCGGCGGCGGCGGAGGCAGGGGCCCGGCCAGGGAGGGGGGGCGGCGCGGGCACCCCCCCTGCCCACTCCCCCCGGGGGGCATCTCGGCCCGGGGGCGGCCCCCTCACAGCCCCATGGCCGGGGGCGGGGGCGCGGGGCTGCGCGGCCCCGCGAAGCCCCCCTCCGGCTGCGAGCTCCGGGAGGGGGGGTAGGGCTGAAGCGAAGGCAAAGCAGAGCCGGAGCTTCAGTCCTGAGCCCAGGAAATCAAGTGGATCCCGCCGGGGAATCCCGGGTCCGCGGAGCGGCGAGGCCAAGGTCCGGAGCGCCAGGGTCCATGGCGGGCAGTCTAGGGGTCTCCCCGCATGCCGACGGGGCCCGGCGGGCGCAGAGGACCGTCAGCGGCCCGCAGGAGGGGGCATGGTGCCGGGCGGAGCGGGGCGGCGGAGCGGGGGCCGGCCGGGGAGGGGAGCAGGAGGGGGGGGCAGGGCGGAGGGACCCGAGCGGCTCCCGATCTGCGGGCGGCGCTGGGCAGCTCCGCTGCGTGGCACCTGGCTAGCCGGCTCCGCGCTCGCCTCTCCTCGGCGCGCACCCCGCCCCTCCCCCCCGCACCGGGAGCGCGCTTTCCACCATCAGCACCACCACCACCCCTCCTCCGAGAGAAGGGGCCCTGCTGAATAATTGAACAGGACTGAGGCTAGCGGGAGAGGCCTTCTCTCTTCCTCCTCCTTTCCACCCTCCCCCACCTGGACGAGCTTCAGTAGTGCTTGCTGGTCCAGTACACAGAGATGTGACCACAGCCCTCTTCAACACCCCTCAGAACACACGTGCACACTAGGTTGTGGACCTACTTGGGTATGGAAACACCCACGCGTCCATACAGGCACCAGTGTGCTGAGAGGCACACAGCTCAGACACATCTGTGCATGCTTGCGGTCATAGACACTGGCACACCAAATGTTTGCAGAGGCATACACAGACACACTGCACACACACATACGTGTTTGGCTACAGGTAACATACACTTCCCAACTCCCCTGATGCTCACCCTCCAAAAACAGTCATCCATAACCACAGAAACAATGTATTCAGAGCCAGAAAGGCACTACACACACACACACACACACACACACACAGACTCCTCCCCACACAGACTCCTCCCCACCTGCCTGCAGAGGGTACTTGTCCACCCCTATACAAGGTCTTCCCCCATTCTTCCAACCCTCCCTCCACACTCCTACCCCTCCCCTAGCTTCAGCCTCTAATCCCCCAGGGTTCTCCAGGACCTTTGTCCAATAGAACAAAATCTTCCAGGGCCATTTACCTCAGCTGAAAAAACCATCTCTCTTTTAGGGTACCCCCTTACACTGGGACCTGCTCTCCAAACTTTAGAGGCCTTTGGGAAGTATTTGTTATGGCCCCAGAGATAAGGGCAGATAAAATCCTTTCCCCTCATCTGGTTGTGGCCCTGGCCCTCATACCCACACCAACCTGCTTGGACAGGGGCAAGGGTGCAGTGCAGGAAGAGGCAAGAGGGTAGAGGAGGGAAATAAAGCAATGTGGGGACCCCGAATTGAGGACAGGTGGGTAGAGAGGGGGAAAAGAAGGCAGGTGAATGAAGAGAGAAGAGGAGGCGAGAGTGGCTCCGGCTTCTCCAGTCAGGATTCCATATTGGTGCAAAACTGTCCTGGTGAGGCCCAGAGTGCTGTCCCAGCTCCTGGGTGAAGTCAAGACCCAGACCAAGCCAGGTGTGGAGGCTTATGTCTATAATCCCAACACAGGAGGCAGAAAAAATCGCCACCAGTTCCAGTCTAGGCTACACATTGTGACCCTGTTTCTGAAACAGGGAAAGGAAAAAAGAAAAAGAAAAAGACCCAAGACAGCCTTCCCTGCTGCAGCCAGGTGACAAGGGCAGGTATTCCCAACCCCCCCCCACACACACACACACAAAACACACACCACACCCTTCAAAGGTAGAGCAGGGATCCTTGGATGCAACCAAGGGGAGGCATCAGGTGGTCCACGGCCCCACGAGGGAGGAGGGACAGTATTCTGGGACTCCAAGAGGCCCTGTTCATCTGCCCTCTCTCCCAGCCTTGTACCCCCACCCCCCCGGCTCTGCCACAGCTCCTACCAGGCAGAAAATTTATGGCCCCAGAGGGAGGAGTCAGTGGCGGTGGTGGTGAAAGGAGAGGAAGGGAAACCGCCTAGAGGCCAATCAATATCTGTGAGAGGGAACTGGAGAAAGTTGGAGGGATTGATGCTGGGGAGTGGGGAGACACAGAAGGTAAAAAAGAAAGTGAGAGAAGGAGGTATGCAAGAGATCAATAAAGGATGTGAAGATGAGGAGGGGGCCGGAAAGCAGCCATGGTGAGGGACGGCCACCTGGGCGAGGCACCAGCCCCAGGGCACTGGCGTGGAAGTGGCCCTCCTATGGACTGCTCCTCTGGCTCCTTTTATGCTCCTTTCCCCCCCATTCTCTCCACTTGCCTCTCCCTCTGATCTGTTCTCTCCTAGTCTCTCTCTCAGAGCCTTGGAGGAACAGAGCTCTCCCCGCACGTGGAGGTTCCCATGGCACACAGATGGAGAAACTGAGGTGAAGAAAAGAAAGAAGCTTCCCTGAAGCACAGGCCTCTCTTCCTCCTCCTCTCTCCCCATCCAGACGGCTCCGAATACCCTCAGAGGGCAGCTCTGCCCTACCGCCTTGCCCCCCCCAGCCTCTCTCCTGGTTTCTGTTTGACCGTGTCACCTGTAGAGGGTTCCAAGAAGACCAGACATGAGAAACAAAGAATCCCAGAGGAAATGCCTATGGCTTGAAGCAAAGACCCCCATCCCAGTTTCCCACCCTGTCCTTACAGTGGGGGGATCGCAGACATACCCCAGCCAGCACTGGCTCCTGGAGAGGAACAGAGCTGAGCCCTGCGCAGGCTCCAGGTCACACCCACCTTGTCTTTAGCTGCACAGCTTTGCTTGGGCTATGCCACCAGACACACAGACCAGTGCTTGGAAATGACGGCACTCCCCAAGATGAGATGGGCTCCCCAGCCCCAACTGTCCTTCCCTTCCACCAGAGAACTTGCTCATCCCACCCTTGCTCAAAGGTGGAGCAATTCCCTATACCACACACACACACACACACACACACACACACACACACACACCATCTCTAGATGCTTTGGGTCCACCATGTGAGAGGAAAGCCATGAACACGGGCAGCCACACTTCTTGGTCCAGATTCTCTACATCCTGGACAAGAAAACCCCACCATGGACACCACCACCATCCCTGGATCTCTAGGAGCATTAGGAGTAACCACCACAGTCAGAGGACCCCCAGATTCTAGCAGAGCTCCACCACTGACCCCATGACTAGAGGCTTGATGAAGGCAGGCTTTGTAGGTGACACCCACTGGTAGTGGGGAGGGTTTCGATTAACAGGTATGTACAGAGCCAAGTGAAGCACGGAGCAGGGCTGAAAAGGCCCTGGGCTGACTGGCTGAGAACCAGGAAGCTACTAACGAAGAGGGAATGGACATTTTTACCAAGGAAAACCCAAGAGCCAGCCAAGAGCCCCAATCCCTGGAACAGGCAGGTTTCCCAGGAATGACATTCAGGGCAGCTACCAGATGGCACAGATCTGGAGGAGTTGTGCACACAGGGCCTGGACTGAGGTCTCACCCAGAACTGTTGTAACTCCCTCTAGAGGTCTACAGGCACCTGCAGACTCACTTCCGCATCGTGTTCATAAAGTAGACAATCTGTCCTGTGTATGTCAGGGTGTGTGTCTGTGTGTCTCTGTGTGTGTCAGGGGTATGTCTTTTCTGCATGTAATTCCACCCACCCCCATCCCCATCAGACAGAAATGCCGAGTCCTCCCACAGAGTTGAAGACTTGCCTCCATATCCCCACCATACCTCCTATGCCTGACCCAGCTGCCCTCCTCTGCCAAGCTGCTGGCCTCTAACCACTTGGGACTAGAAAGTGCTGCTGATTCTGCTCTCCTTGGGGAGGGTCCTCAACAGTATGCAAACTGGCAGGGTAAAGAACCAAAAAGGACACTAGAGAATGACCTTGTGGCTCCAGGGGACAACCTGCAGCTGGGATTCTTTCGGGGAGGGGATGGGGGAAAAGAGAGAACAGCAGGGCCCATGTCCAGGGAATTCAGCTGGCCTACCAGCTCTAAACCAGGTGAGGCCACCTGTCAGTAGAGACACAGGCAGCAGTGAGGGGCAGCTGCTGCTGCAGCCTCCAAGGTGAGGGGGCAGAAGAAGCAAAGAGCATCCAGGGTACCCTCCCTCCTCCCTGGCTTCCCTGTGGCTGAGAACAGGGATGAGGACACACGGGGCCCAGCCCTGAGGCCACTCACGGTCATTGCAGACAGGGCCCCCATAGGAAGTCATGGTACAGTCACAGGTAAAGCCATCCCACTGCTGCAGGCAGACACCCTGGTTGGCACAGGACTCTTCGGTGCAGGTGGTACTGGGGCCTGGAAAGGGCAGGAGGAACGAACACCGGGGATTCAGCCATGTCCCCTCCCTCCCTCCCTCAGGGGTTGCAGAAGTGTCACGGCCAGACAGAGAGGTTCTGTCCTCCTTGATCCACCAGGCTGAAGGGTCTAGATGCTGAACAGGGGGGCTAGGGAGGATGGCAGGGGAGGAGGAGCTTAAGAACTGCTAGGCTTGGCCTTGAACTGTGATAAGGGGCCAGGGAGGGAGGCAAATGGTCCTTCCCTCACCTGTCTCCCTTGTCCCAGAGGTCTAGGGACAGATTCTTACAAGCCTTGAGGAGGAGGCCCCTTTGCTGAGCACAGGTGACCTGCCCTTGTAAGCCCCAGGGCCACACCTAACCACTCCAGCCTACACTTACCATCGCAGCCCCTCTCCACCTGCCCGATGCGGTGCAGGGCGTCAGCGATGAGGTCTGGGAGGCGCCCGTTGAGATCCACAGAGGCCAGGCAGCCCTGAAAGCCATCCCGGGAAGCCACCAGCTTGGGAAGGTTGCTGAACATGTTCTTGCTCAGGCCTCCGATGTACAACTCCCCTGCAAAGAGAATGGGGTCAACACCCTGGCATTCCGATCCCTAGTCCCTTCCCAGGACACTGGCATCCCATCATCTGGTCCACCCAGCCCTCTGAAAGGCTCTTGGTATTCCTCACAGATACAGTGACCTGCAGATTCACCACCACCATCACCATCTCTTCCTCCTCCTTTCACTTTGCCATCTGCCTGCTCCCCTCCCAGAGAAACCCAGATGCCTGGGGAAGTGGGGGGGTGGGGGGACAGCTGGAGGAACCTGCTCCATGCTCTCTCCCACACATTTGATTCCAGTTCCGGCCTGTAATCAGGGCCTTTCATGGATGCACAGCTCCACATCCCCTCCACCCCCCTGTCCCTCCTTCCCAAAGACTCTAGTTCCCAGAACCCCTGGGTGCTTCTCCCAACTCAGCAGCTTTCTGGCCCCCTAAGTCCTAAGCTTGCTCCCTTCTCCCGACAATTGGGGCTCTAGAAAGAAGTCTTCCTCAGGGATGCCTAACAATGCATGTGGAGTCCCACTCTCCTACAGAGGAAGCCCTGGCCAATGTTTAGCAGAGCTTCAGCGGACAGCCTGGTTAATCTGCAGCCCTGGCCAGAGGGGTCCATTGCTTCCAAAGACTAGTCCACAGGTTCACGGCCACTTCCAATTCTCTGTCACACATCGCCCTCTCCTGGAAGCAGGGAGAATTTGCCGTGCTCTGTTGTGCAAGCTGGTGGGTCTGGGAACTGGGGGTGGGGGAAATTCACTAGTCTCTGAGGTCCTTCCCCAAGTTTTAACAGTTTGGGTTACATGACACACACCGGGCATGTGGGGGTTAGGGCTGCTGTAAGGAGGGCATGTGTAAGGAGGTAGTGTGAACCCCAGCTGGGTCTGGAGCAGCTGCAGAATCTCCTGTTCCAATGCCTGGTCTGTCTTCTCCCCCCACTTCCTTCTCCTCTCCTCCTCCCCACCACCCATTCTGGGAGCTGGCGGTGACCGCTTCAGTGACTCCTACAGACTCACTGGGGAAGGTGGGACTCTGGCAGGACCCAGAGCAAGCCCAGTTAAGGCCAAGATACAGGATTTGGGGACCCCAGATGCTGTTCCCTGTTCTCTTTCCAGACCTCCAGCAAATCGGGTTTCTTAAACTCAGGGGTTCAGGAAGTTCTTAAAAGGCCTGTGCTACCTATTCCCAGCTCTAGAATCAAATCACCCAGCACCCCTTGAGATATTCTGACCCAGTGCTACATCTGGGATAGCCTCACAAGACAGCCAAGTGGGGCACAGATGGTGACTGTCAGCTGGACATAGTATAGGACAGGAAAGAAAGAGACAGGGTGGGGGAAGGGAAGCAGAAGCATCCTGGACCTTCTTGAAGGAGGGGATGACCTTGCTGGGGTAGGGGAGCTGGGCTAGGGCCAGCCTTCTCCAGAGGCCCCACCCCACCTTTGAGATCCAGGTTTCGGGCGCCATTCGAGTGCTGTGTGACAGTGCGGGAGTCGATCTTGAGAGTGTGCACATTGCCCGGGTCTCTGGACACCACCACGTTGTGCCATTGATTGTCATTGACGGGTTTGTCTGAGTTCCCCTTCATCAAGGATGGGCCATTCCCCAGGTCAAACACGTAGTGAATGTACCTGCCCAGTGGAGGGAGGAGACACTAGATCAGGGTGCTGAATGCTGAGAAGGTGGGTGAGGATGACCTACTGTTGGTAGGGGAACTAGAGGCCTGGGAGGAAGGGATGGAGGAGACCCCATAGGAAAAAACCAAACCAATGGCAAGAAGGCTGTGGCATGAAGTCCTGTCACAGGGAGGACATGGAGGGAGACCCACTGAAGTGCTCACTCTTTGGACTCAGAAGAGGACCTGGCAGAGGGGGAGTTTGGGTGATGTGGAGTTCCCCTGAAAGCAGACTAAGCTGCTGGAGCGAGGTGGGATCTTCCAGGGCAAGGGCGAGGTTGGGCTGACTTCTGCCATAGAAAGGACAGTGGACAGAGAAGGGATTTAACTGGGAACCCTGGAAAGGTAGCAGCAGGGAAGTCAGCTGCCTGGAAGTTTCTTCTCCATCTAGGCTGAGGAGGGAGCCTCTCAGCTGATGGCCGGGGACCTGAGGTCTGGAAGGTGTATCTGGGTCAGCAAGGGATGGGGCCACTTCATGACATCACCCCAATGCCCGGCCCCTCACCCCTTGACCAGCTCGATGACAATGAAGTCATTGCCGTTGCCCGAGTTGAACAGCAGAAGCCCATCGGGGGCCGTGGTCTTGAACTGGAAGAAAAGATGCATGGAAGCGTAGGCTTGGAGTGTAGCCAGCGCCAGGTAGCTGCTGCGACTCTTAAAGGTGACCGGGTCGGCCACAATGGCACGCAGACCAAAGCGAGCATTAAGTTCGCAATAGGTGATGTCCCCATCCTTGCACTGGTCCATGTAGGGCTGGCCATTGAACACCAGCCCGCTCAGGTGCCCAATGAAGTTGGAGGGCACCACAGAGATGAATCGCCGCTCTGTCATGATGCCTGTCTCAATGTTGTGGAACTCCAGCCTCGTGTGGGCTCCTGCCATCTGTCCTGCTTGGGATGGAAGATCAAGATGAGGGGGTTAGCTAAGAGCACAGACCAGGGAATCATTTCTGGGGTGGGGCCTTGGGTTCCCAGCAACATCGTCTCAACTGGAGGGAGACCACTAAAAGCAACATCTGTAGGACTCCGTGGCCAGTGCTAGCACTGTTCCGGGAGTAGCTGAAGGACTCAGTCGAGGGACAACAGGCTTCCAAGGAGATGTTGCCCAAGGGGAGATGAAATGTCCCCTAAGGGGCCTAAACCCGATAGTACTAGTTGCCCTATGGACAGCAACCCAGGCAGAGGTGAGCAAGAACCAAGCAGCAGTCGCTACCCTGACCACCTACCCTCCACAGTCACATTGTCCACTGACCACCTACCCTCCACAGTCACGTTGTCCCCTGACCACCTACCCTCCACAGTCACGTTGTCCCCTGACCACCTCCCCTCCACAGTCACGTTATCCACTGACCCCCTCCCCTCCACAGTCACGTTGTCCCCTGACCACCTACCCTCCACAGTCACGTTATCCACTGACCCCCTCCCCTCCACAGTCACGTTGTCCACTGACCACCTACCCTGCACAGTCACGTTGTCCCTGACCACCTACCCTCCACAGTCACGTTGTCCACTGACCACCTACCCTCCACAGTCACGTTGTCCCCTGACCACCTACCCTCCACAGTCACGTTGTCCCCTGACCACCTACCCTCCACAGTCACGTTGTCCACTGACAGCTGCAGGCTCTTGCCACGCCGTACCACCCTCACCGTGTGCCACTCGTTGTCGTTAAGCTTGTACCCCGCAAAGAGCGTCTCGGGACCTTTACCTGCAGCACCAAGGGGGGAGTGAGGACCGACATGCTATGAATATGTGCACTGGTGGCTGCCTCACCTCACACCTGGAGCACATGTATGGAGTGCTTTTACACCCAGGGTCACAAGCCTGATCTGCACAAGTCTTGTCAATCTGTTTGACTGTGGAGGATGCCAACATGAATCTCCACACCTGCAACCAACTCACTTCCCTGGTCATCTAAAGACATGCACTGTGTGGCACCCCCAACACCACAATACCCCAAAGGAAAGGGTACCCATAACTTCGCCCTCCACGACCCTCCACCTCCACCGTCCATCTTAAAACCCAGCTCAGACCCAACATGGCCTTTCTGTATACTCCTGTTTAATTCTACACCCCAGGGCTATAACCACCTACACAGCACATAAAGAACAGGCACAATCACAGGAATGTTCTGGGTCTTGGAAATTATGACCATTTATTTATTCAAGAGTGGGATTGTCAGCAAACATACTCTGTCAGACATTGCTGGGCTTTGCAGCACTGACAAACCCTGAGCGCCTTAGTGCTCACCCAGCTCGGGGCTGAGGATACTGCATTAAAGGGCCTCTGGTGTGTGCACACATCATGCCACACCCACATGAAACAAGGGGACTAACCACACAATACCTCTACTTGTGCCTTCCGAGCTCGAATGCTCCTCTGGGTGACCTGACCACAAGGCACATCTTACAGAAACTGTAAAACTGAGTAGCCAGCCCAGCGACAGAGGCCCTGACCTGTCTACATCGGCTTCTGATCCCTGATAGCCCTTACTGACATCCCTGAATGAGCCAGGGTTTGGCGATAAGAAGGAATAGACACTGAGGCTCTGGGCAAGCCATCGCCCGCCCTCATCATCCTTCCCATAGGCCTTGTCTTCCCCCTTGTGGCCACTGCTGGAGGTGCAGCATTATGTCTCCTGGCCCGGAGTTCTGTCCCGCAGATTGGGTTGGTGGTTCCTGCAGCAAGTGCCACCTAACCCCAGATTTCCTCCTCCTCCCCACCCTCCTGCTGACTTGGGCAACAAGGTCTCCTGGTCTTTCCTTCCTCAGAATCCAGTAAGCATCCTGACTAACTCTCCCTGGCTGTTTCTATCCAGCCCTCCATAACCCGCCCCTTCCCCATGCCAGCTCCCCTCCCCACACCCACTGCCCAAGTCCCTAGCAAGTCAGTAATGAAGGCTTCTCTTCCCCCTCCCTCCCTCCCTCTCTCCCAGTGTCCAGCCTTCTGGACCCCTTGGGTCTCTGCAGAAGAAGAGGGAAGCCACTTACTGGGTGCGCAGCCGACGCGCAGGCAGTCTGGGGGGGCCATGGGGCGGGCAGAGGGGGAGGGGAGACAAAAAGGCAGAACAAGTTTTTTTGTTTTTTTTTTTTTTTACATCCTTCACAGGCAGGGGAATTTGCAGGGGGGGGGTGCCCCCCCGGCGCCCCCTCCGGGGGCACGGC